TTTCCCGGCTTATGTTAAACCCTGTCTCCCGGCGGTGGCAGCCCCGGGGACAGCGAGGCCTTCCTCCCCGGCTCACGGGGGTTTTGGGGTGCGGAGGCTGAACGGGGCGTTTGCTCTGTGATGGATGGGAGAGTTTACAGCTGGATTTTGAGCTTACAGTCACACCCCTGCGGCAGGTTTGCGGGGGGTGGATTTGCCCCCGTCTCCCCTCTCCGGCTGGCTCTGCATGTCGCAGCCCTCCTCCTCCTCTTCCTCCGCCTGAGGCAGGAGCGCAGTGTTTGCAGTGTGAAACTGCCAGTTTATGCAAAATACTGACCGCAGTTTGGGCACTTTTTTTTGCCACTGGGCCTGGCTGAACTAGAGGAACAGCGTTTGTCCGTTACAGGAACACCCTTTATAGGGGGATAACTGCTTGCTATATAATAGTATGTAATTAGCAGGGATTATCCCGTAATCTAGTCTAATTGACAGAGACCGTGGATGTTGTTCAGTGGACTGCCAGCAGAATTAGAGCATCATTAATTGCGGCGTGACCCTGGCGCAGGCTTCCCTCTTCTGCATCCTGCGGCATGTCAGCGTTCCCTTTGTGCCTCAGTTTCCCCTCCTGTGAAATGCCAGTGCATCTACCTGGATGGGACCAACACCTGCCCTGAGGGGTGGTTAAACGCACGCAGGAGGGCTCTCTAGGCCCTGAGCCCCTCCACAACGTGGCCTCGGCTACGGGAGGGTTCATCCTCGGCATTAAAACGCTGAGGAAGTGCCGCAGCCATGTCAAGCAGCGAGGGAGACGCGGTGCCGTGCCCTGGGCGTAGGAGCAAGGGGTTGCTGGCTGCGGCCCTACGCGTTGCCCTCCCTCCACCTCTTCCTTTCTGCTTCCCTCCATCCCTCCTCTGCGCCAGCCCCCCGTTTCTGCTCCTGCTCCATCCTGTGCCAACATGCCCTGGGAGGGAGGTTCCTGGAGCCTCCTGCCTGATCAGGGCTCCAGAAGGTCCCTGTGGCTGCCCCTTGCCGTAACATCTCTTGATCCGGGGCCAGCCTAGCACAACCCTTCGTGTTACAGGGCTGCCAGGGAAGCAAATGAGATCTGAAAGTTTGGGTTCTTTGTAGCGAAACCTTTGAAGAGCCTCTTAAAAGATGAAAAATGGTGAGCCGCTGCGTGCGCTCTTTTCCAAAGGACAGAGAGGGGCTTGGCTACCCCTGTCTTCTTTCGCCCAAGTAATTTGCGGCAGGACAAAGCTCCTCAGAGCCGTGCCTGCTGACAGGGAACGGAGCAAGCTGTCGCCTGGTGCCTTCCCAAATTTGCTGGTCAGATGTCAGCTCTGGTGGGGGTGAATTCCCCCTCCATCCCTGCCGGTGCTGCCCCGAGCCCACCCTGTCTTTCCCAAGCGCCCGCAGGGCGGGCAGAGGATGACACTCACCTTGGGAAGGCACTTCCCTCCTCTCCGTGCTGGGTGCAGCGGGACACTATGGGTCTGTTGGCCGTATCTGCTCTTTTGCTGAAGGAAACCTGTGGGCTGGGCTTAATCTGGAAAGAAAAGGGAAAATAGAAAGACCTTTTCTCCAGTTTGGGTGCCTCCTTAGTTTAAAATTTCCCTTTTTAAAGGGAACCAGCTATTTCAAAGGCACCATTCCAAAGAAAGCGAGCATAAGGGAGCCACTGCTCATCCTCCCTTGGAATCTAGAAGGCTTTGCTAGTGTGAAGACAGGAGCTCATGGAGAGTCCCTGCCTCTGTAACGTGTCTTAGCGGGACCGGTCTGCACTGCACAATGGCTGCCAAGGAAAACTGGAGAAGAGCAGAATTGAGGAGAAATGCAGTGCCAGTGAGGCCAGACTTGGGATGCATGAGGGGTCCCTTCTTCCTCCAGCCGGATGTGTAACCCATGTGGCAGGGGAACCCAGGCCAGTGAGGGTCCTGCAGGACCCTGTGAGTGGGTTTGCTACAGGCAGACTATAGCAGGTCAGACGTTCCGGAGCCAGGCTGGCCTCGGGAGCCACATACTCCATTGGATTTGGGTGTCCATGCCCTTCCAGACCACCTATTCCAAGGGCTTTCCAGTGGTCACATGGACTACACCTTCCAGACCACCTATTCCAAGGGATTTCCAGAGGTCACATGGACTACAGCTAGTGTGGAACGGCTGATGGCGCTGGGAACTGGCCATCCCTGGCCTCCTGCCTTAGCCCTGGCTGTCCCACGGGCTGCGCTGGCCAGGAGCGGGAAGGAAGAACTGGGGAGCACCACGCTGATGGAGCTGGTAACCCAAGGCATAAACAAACAGTTCTGTAGGTGAGGTTGCTCAAAGCGGGGGAATCTGGTCATTAGGGAGTAATTAAAAACTCGATTACTGCCAGGTATCGAGTATCCCACTGTCACATCCAGCATCACGGCTTGGGACAACGAAGCCCCTTTTGGCCTATTGCTTTTTCATCTCTGGTTTTGTCTTCCTTCCCCAACTTCCTGGTTTTGTCCTTAAAGCATGCCCCTGTTCTCTGCATTTCTCCTTCCCTGTGGGTCTCGAGTCTAACCCTCGGGAATCTTTTCCAGTTCCTCCAGTCAGCTTTATTCAAAGCTGTGTCTGCGCATCTTCAGCTTCATCGAGATGGAAGGGCTGGACCCAGAGCTACACACTCAGGTTCCTCTGAAAACAAGGTGGGCAAAAATATTAGCTGTTGGATAGAGGAAATTTATAGGAGAGGTTTCTCCTTGTGTGCAGTAACTCTGCATCCGTGAAGTTAATTCCCTAATGAAAAATATTTGGCACGTATCGAGAATGAAGTTAAAAAAATCTCAGCAATGCACGGCCTGAAGAGCTGAAGGTATCCAAAATAGACCCAAACCCCCCCAAAAATACCTCTAATCTGCAGGCTGCTTGGGAAAGTGTCAGGGACCAGGAGAGGGCATGGAAAAAGTCACCTGGAAGAGCTGGGCCTGGCGGAGTGCTGCTTCTACCCCAACCCAGTGGGCGATGGCACAGGACAGCCCAAGCTCGCGGTCTGCGTGGAGCAGAAGCACTTACGCACATCCCTGAGCTGGTGCAGGGACTCGGGAAGGCACCAGCTGTCCCACGCTACCCCCGGTGGTGCTTGGACAGCCTGTAAGGTTAAGAAACTTCACTGGCCCGGCCCTCGTTGGAACCAGAAATTCCTCATTTTCAGGCTTTTTTTTTTTTTGCTTCTCACACATTACCTAAATAGAGAGAGCACAGCCCAGCACCAGGAAGAGAAAACTGGAAATACATACTGCAGGTCGTGGCGCTGCAGCGCTGGACACAAAACCAAGGCCGTCCATCAATCCCGAACCCCTTCCGTGCCAGCCCAGGACACGTGAATTCAATTACAGCCGTGCAGCCTGACATTATTGAAGTGGGAAATGGAGCTGCTTGCTGGTAAGGAACAAACGGAGGGTTCTCACGCCTCTTGCTACAGCCGGGTCAACAGGTGTTAAGTCTTTATTGAAGTATCATCCGGGGTCACTACAGGCGTACCCGCCAGTTTCTGTCCCATACTGTCTCCAGAACACCTGCCCTTGGCCTGCTGCCAGCGCAGGGCCTACGCCAGAGCATCGCTGGTTTCGGAAGCGCCGGCTGTTCAACGGTACCGTCACAATGTGTACGGGAAACAATAGTCTTGCACCGGCCCATGTAAATAATGTAGATGTTCTTGAGAGAATCTGCGATTATGTAATGAAATTTAAGGGGTTTAACACCTTAGGTAAGTTTTGGGAGGTGAGGTTTTTTAGATTTTAGCATTCAGAGAAGAAAAAAGTATTTTGCAGGTCACACGATGACACAGTCCCAATTCATAATTTTCCCACGGCGACATTTGTCCTTAATTGACTCTTCTGAAATCAGAGCACCCAGCACGACTGATCTAACACACCTTAGGGTATATTAGCCCGTGATTCCCATGACTATGGACAGGCAGGTTTCGCTCATCCCCATATTCGGCTCTCCCTACCTCACTGACTCAGAAGGCGGTTTGTGAGCAGTCCCTTGTGTAGGTACAGAGAGCACTTTAGCACCTACAGCAGAGGAACACTGTGCCTGTCACAGATTTAATAACAGCTTAGGGACAAGCAGCTTACTTGTGGCACTGAAGAGACTGGAGCAAATAGGAGAGGCAAGATTTCCAGTTTTTAACAACTAGGAGGACTTAAAGCAACAGTCTGTTGCTTAAATTTGTTCACACAGTTATTCTGAACCATGATCCTTTTGGAGGAAATAAAGGCCTTTAAAAGGAGTATTTTGCTTATAACCTGATTTTATTTAGAAAATCCGTTTCAAGTTTTTTCACGTCACAGGAAGAACAGGCACCACATTTAAATCACGAGCGAGGTAGGGAAGTCTGAGTGAGCTGCTCATCAGATAGCACCCAGGGCTTTAGAAAATGCCCAGCACTGCAGGATGGCTGAGCCTACGGAATGGTGGGAAGCAAGTTACTGAAACCCACTTTGCACCCAACTCTGGAACGCAGCAAAGGCAAAACACCCGGCTTGGCAGAACAGCTAGCTCTTACCACAGGCAGGGCCCAGCTCCAGCAGACATGGCCGATTCAGGGTTAACTGGAGTTTGCATTTATTCACTAGGAATTTCCTTCCATGGACCAATTACCCTGAATTCCCAGTATTTCCTTAGCACAGCACAGAGCTGCTCCTTTATCTTATTCGGCTGATGACACCTGAAGATCCACATCAGGGATGGAACCAAACCGAGGTATGACAAGCAGAGAGAAGTGAGAAGGAGGTGAGTCAGAGATGGCTTTGTAGCAGGAAAATACACAGGCAAGTAGAAGAAACTTTCCCTGCAACAAGCTCACATGGATTTCCACCAAGTCAGATTTACAGCACCGCATTCATCGTTAGCAGCTCTCCCCTTCAGCAGCCCTGCTCATAGAGCCAGTCACACTCGGCACCTCTGCACCCCCCTCGCGACACAGAGGGGTCCCACTTCCACAGGGAGGTCAGCACACCAAGTTCTCACACGGGATCAAGCACGACACTTCACTTTTTATGGCTCTGGACAAACACAGGGACAGGAAGAGTGCCAGCCTTGACTTCCGCTCGGATTTCAGGTTTGTGCTTTAATGAGAAGACGAGAGCTCGCACCGTTCTGCGATACGGTGCGCTAATGAGACGGGAAGAGAGATGAAAAGCTTCTCGCTCAATATTTTCAGCCAGCGGGTGATCAATCTGAAAACGGCAAAGTATAAAATTAGATCTTTACATTTAATAAGGAGACCAACTGATTGAAATTGGAGCATGGTGCTTTTCAGTGTTTCTTCATTAATCAGCTGAGATTCAAGGAAATCTACTTCCCATGGCAAGTTTAACAGGAAGAGCAATTTAATTCCACCCTAGCAATTAAGGAACAAGGCAACATGGTCAGTAGCCGGGAACGTAACCACCTCTCCAGCTGGGTGGCAGCTCCTTGCCATCCCAACAGGAAACTAACCTGCGGCTAGCTTTGGGTATGAAGCTCAACTGCGAGTCTAAACCACGTTGTACCTTCTCCACGAAGTTCGCTGTTGATATAGGGTACATTGGATACTATTTTAAACTTGATTCCAACAGCAACTCCAAGACATGCCAAACACTTGGCAACTCTGCCTGGCACTATAAAGGGAAATGTGGGCTCTCTGTGTGTAGAAGGTGGTGTAATTAAGAATGCAGAAAGGGATTTGCTAAATGTTAATTATGTAGTTATTGCTTCAACATGTGCCAAAACCTGTAATTTAGCACAGCTTAGAAACAAAATCCCCCACCCATCAAGAAACGGTTTTAATTTCACTTCTGTCTTTCATGATGGGGAATCTCCCATGCTTTGCATGCAGGAGATTCCAGCATGCCAAGTAGTATTCCTCCAAGTCCTCTGCCCACCTCTTTTGTTCTCTTTTTGCTACCCATCACTGAAGTGCCATCAGCTGGGCAGCACTAGAAGGCCCTTGGATCCATTCATCCCCACCTTCCCTTCTCCTTTGACTCAGCCTCGTGGGTGTCCCTGCCCGCCCCGTGCTGTACCTCCGGGGCTTCCCTGTTATATGCTGTCCATCTGCTGCCGGAAGCTCCACGCGCACACGCGGTGGCAGCTGCAAGCTAGAAGGGTGGTTTTCCTTGCCGTGCTTTCAGGTGAGTCCTGTTCAGAGGTGATTCTGCTTTACCCAGTGCTACTTGTTTTAGGGTGGTATCACAGCCTTTATGTCCCATAGGTTCAGACTTTACTACTAGTCCCATCACCATGCATAGATGTGCTCTCCAAGAACTAAGCTCGATCCAGCGGCCTGGCAAAGGTGAGCTCCCACCTTTCCGTTCTGAGGCATTCCCACAGCAAACCAGGCTTTTGTGCTGCCTCAGTCCAGATGTGCTCGCTTCGGCAGCACATATACTAAAATTGGAACGATACAGAGAAGATTAGCATGGCCCCTGCGCAAGGTATGACACGCAAATTCGTGAAGCAGGAAGAAGTTCTTCACTGAAAGGGTTATCACACACTGGAACAGGCTGCCCAGGGAGGTGGTGGAGTCACCATCCCTGGATGTGTTTAAGAGACGGGTGGATGAGGTGCTGAAAGATATGGTTTAGTGGTGGACAGATACAGTTGGACTGGATGATCTCTAAGGTCTTTTCCAACCTAGTGATTCTATGATTCTATGATTCTATGACTGAAAGTTGGAGAGGTTGTTCTCATGGCTAACAAACACAGAGCTTTGAAACTCTTGAGCACTTATCACCTGACTTGCCATTTAAACGATAATTAATGAATAAATTAAAAAGGATCATTATTATGGCATTTCATAGACCAAGCAAACTAGTCATTAAGCCTTACAGCAAAGCCCTGTTCATTTACTTAAAGATACCTGAGGGATCTGGTATTTATCACCACTTTATATACTGTCAACTTTGCCTCTGTTTTTGCAATAGATTTAAATTTACAAATGTTTAATTACTTAAAGATGAAACAGCCAAAAGGTCCCAGTGTTGCTTTCACAGCTGTTGAGTAGTAGGAAAAACTTTACGTCCTGTTAACTCCCTCCTTCTCTCGTACAGCCCAACTATTCTGTTGACTGGTTATATAAATGCACCTCACTTACCATTAGCATGTTTACCTTGTTAACAACCAAAAAAAAATTATCTACTTTGAAAACAAAGCTACTAATGAACAGGGACATGTAGTGAATCACTGAAAATAGGAACAAATCACCTGGTCTTGTCTCCATTCTGCAGGCAGGACCAGCTTTACAGCAGCTACGGCTGAAAAAGGTTTAAGTTGTTCCTACAAGTAACAGTTTGAGCCAATGGTGGATGTGAACACTACCTCTAGATCCAGGGCTTCACAAAGCAGCTTCCGCGCATTCTTTCTGAAAGCCTCGGTCTTGGGATCGCTCCTGACCTCTATTGAGGGCTTGTTTGAATGGTCTTTGATGAAAGTTCGCCACTCCGTGTAAATCTCTTTGGCGAGGCTGGCCACATCGTGATCGGAATGTTTGCGCATCTTATTCACCGTCTGACCTGGAAAACAGGAACAGCTCCTTCAGGTTCGGTAAGTGAACAAAATATAATGGACACCAGCCAAATCGCACTGATGCTAAATCAGCCCTACACATTTTTAGTTCAGGCAGTGCCAGCAAACAACCAGAGTATTGACACAAATATAAATAAAAATTATTAGGAATGAAGCCTGAAGTTCTCACTCCTCGACTTCTGCAGTGATTTTTGCCTGAGCAATTAGCAAGGAATTGATCTATACATGGGAAAATTACCTTCCCAAGTCACGGAGGTGTGGAGAGACACTTGTGTAAGACAGGGTTACGTTAATCTTCTACACAGACACTAGATTTGGTGGCAGCTCGTAGGATCAGCCTATTATGTCCTATCATATGATATGTCCTATCAGCCTGTAGTGACAGGACAAGGGGTAATGGGTACAAATTGAAATCAGGAAGGTTTAGATTAGGTATCAGGAAGAAATTCTTCACAGAGAGGGTGGTGAGGCACTGGGACAGGTTGCCCAGAGAAGCTGTGGATGCCCCATCCCTGGAAGTGTTCAAGGCCAGACTGGATGTGGCTTTGAGCAACCTGGTCTGGTGCAAGGTGTCCCTGCCCATGGCAGGGGGGTTGGGACTAGATGATCTTTAAGGTCCTTTCCAACCCAACCCATTCTATGATTCTATGATCAGCCCACAAAGAATGCTGGTTTTAAACTCAAAACCCCCTTAAGGAAGCAGATGTCGCTGGCGATGGCTACAGCACTTTAACATCGCGGTGACTCCGAGCTGAATGTTTCCCATCGACAGGGCCTGCCAGTAAAAGAGGCTTTCCTCCGAGGAGACAAAAGGGACCTTCTTCCAGCCGGGTATTTCTCTCTGACCACTAGTGCTGTTGGCCAGGAGATGTCACTGTTAGGCTTCCGTGGCTATTCCAGCCCAGCCAGGCAAGCAGTGGGAAAAATACCTCAGGTAAAGACTGAATAAGCTGAACACGGCAAATGAAATGACAATTTAGAAGTAAGGGGAAAGGGACAGATCACATTTCCTTTTCTAAGGAAAAGGGGGTCTCTCTGAATAGGGACCCAGCTGCCCTAATAGCAAACAAAAGCCAGCGCCACCAACTCTTACACGGCGATGCTCTCCACAGAGAGGAAAGGCAGGGACCATGCAGCCTCACGTTATCCCTCCCCCAGGTCTTGTGGAAAAGAGCCAGGCATCGGGCTGTCTTATCTGCATGGAGCTGCTGGGGATTTCTCAGTGTGAGGATGCAGTAAGCAGTTCTGGGCCAATCTGAGGAGAATTTCTCACATGTTCAGAGGATCCTGACGGGATAAATAGTCTGGGATGGGAAGGGAGCGCTCTGCCATGCCCCTGAGAGATAGCAGGGGAAGGAATAATACACACAGGTGCCCAAGAAGAGCTCTTCAGAAATCTGACCACAGAAGGGGTGATGCAGTATTTGGTTAAAAGCAGGCAACCTGGGAGGAATTGGAGGATAACTGACCTTTTCAGTACAACCACTGACAACTGCAGGCTGAACACCAACAGCTTTTTATTCAGTGATTGACTAAACCTTTTGAGACCAGAACTACACTAATTTTTTAAAAAGCTTGCAAGCTAGTCTCTTTTGTACCCACCAGCCAAGGAGGCACACGACAGTCTACTATTCACAGCCTAGATCAGTCAAGAGGTACCTATTTTTGTGGAAAGTAACACTTCCTTGGAAGGTATTTTCTTCTTCAGCTCCTCCAAAGCTTCGATCAAATTCTCTTTCGGTTGCCCAGGAAGCTCAAGCATAGACTTCCATCGTTTTATGTCTTCCACAACCACAACTCTCTGGAAAAGAGAAAAGCCATTAGGAAAGCGGAATATTCTTATTATAAATAAGAACACTGGTTTCATCTCAGCTAATGGGACTGTTATCAACACATGAATTATTGATTATGGCATGAACCAGAGCACAGACTATGTGATGGCTCAGAGTGCTTGCTTGAGATCAGCACCCTACTGCAAATCAAGACAGAACTAACTAGAAAGCAAAGAGAGATGTTTAACCTTGACCTGCCAAACTTAAGGTGCGTAGCAGCAAATGTCTGCTAGAAGTGTTTTGAACTTAAGGAGTCCATTGTATAAATGCCTCTTGATAGAAAAGAGGACAAGGGGGAAGAAGCTAGTTAACTTTAGCAGCCTGGCAGAATCCGAATCCTGCTCAGACTGGCTTTAAATTTTAACAGCAGAGAGAGAAGCAAAGCAGTAGGGAGCACGAGCACAAACTGAAGTACACTGGCCATTTGCACAGTTTCTCACCCAAACTGTTTTTGCCACAGATACTGACAGAACAGGCTGCAAACACTGCAAGTCTTGTATTTTAGATATCACAAAATCACAGAATGGTTTGGGTTGGAAAGGACCTTAAAGACCATCTAGTTCCAATCCCTCTGCCATGGGCAGGGACACCTTCCACTAGACCAGGTTGCTCCAAGCCTCATCCAGCCTGGCCTTGAACACTCCCAGGGATGGGGCATCCACAGCTTCTCTGGGGAATCTTGCAAAGATTCAGCAATTGTCAGATAGCTGGGGCACTTTATGCACGATTCTTTGCTCTCTGCCGTACATTAATAAGCTCTTTGGTGCAGCAGATGTTTTCCTGTTGTTTCTACACACAGGTGGCAGAGGGTCTCAGCTCTTAAACAGGTCTCCTGCAGGAACACCGTGCAACCAAGAGAAAGGCTCTCCTTGCTAGGGAGAGAAGCGACCCAGCCAGCAGTACTGAAGCTGCTGGTGTCAGCTAGCCGTACTTGAGCTGTGTGCCCAACCCGACCCTATGCCACACCAAGCGGGCAGGAGGGAGCCAAGTTATAACCCATCACGGTTTAGGAACCCCCTTCAATGCAGCAGAGCCCTCTGCACCAGAGCCCTCTGCACCTTTCTAACTTCGTTTCCTAACACACCCACCCCGCTCTCAGTGAGGATGCCACCTCAAGCTGCAAAAATTTCGGTGAAGAACTGGAACCACAGGTGAAACCCTCCACGGGCACAGAGCACGGCTGGGAAGGTGTGCGGGGATGAACACCTTCCTCGTCTTCCCTGAGCGTAAAACACATCAGTTTGGGCTTAGTTTACAACACGTTTCTCCCGCTGTCACCACAGGCTGCTCAGCAGAGGCAGGGTGGCGGCCTGGTGAAAGCCTGACACCGCTTCTTCTGCCCGAAGCGCCTCCGGGCCGGCCTGGCTCCTCCGGGGGCGCTCC